GAGTGATTTTGCCGCCAAATGGCATCACGAAATACCGGTTATGGCTAGAGCCTATACGTTACTTAGTGGCATCAAATTCTTGAGATATGAATCAATAGGATATGATCGGTAGGGCACAAAGCCCTCTGTTAGCTAAGGTGGATTCAAATTTGTCCCCTTAGACAAACATTCAACCCCGGTCTACAAGGTCCCCTTGGACGAAGCAACTCATGGCTGCCGACAAGGATCCTTCTGTTAGGTTGGGTCGACTACCTCCTCTGACTAAGTAGACCAGGGATCATGATGGCCCGGGACGACGGAACCATGGGATCTTGATCGGGTCTATCATCCATTCCCCCACCATCCGCTTTAAGTGCTAGGTGGTGAAATTTCATATTTTAAATATCAAACTTTTCAATGCTTTCCAAATACCCAAATCCTTCAAGTTTTAAAGTTCAAATCCAATTCCCATCCTAATTCCATTGCTGCTGCTATATGCCAGATAACACGTATTATATACGTATCTGATCAACGACTAGCCTTAATCGAAAGTTCTCTCTCGTTATCGGGAGGGGTAATTAACTATAGGGGCTTGCGCCTATAGGAAACCAGAACTCAAATCATAAAGTCCTCGCAAAATGAGGGCGAAATCTCTGGGTAGTGTCTTATCTACAAACCCATCTGCCTTCCAAAATTTATCCCGGAATTTAATTCCGTTAAAACTCCCTCGCCGAATAAAAAAAGAAAAGCAGGACGGGGAGGCCGAGGTCGAATTTTTGGAGCCCACACCAATATTGGCTGGCTAGATTGTGGAGCTTATATTTTTTTTCACAACTGCCATTAGTAGAGCTAAAAGACCGAACTAAGTCCACAATGAAGCAATTATAGAAGGTGACTAAGCCATGGAAGCTACAAATAGCAAACACTAAGTGGTATGGTAGGGTAATTCATCATGGCCTTAACCTTGACGGGCTCAGCACAAATGAAAAACTCTATGTAATATAAAACGCACAAAAGCATCCCCAGACCCCGAACCTCGCATACCCCACCACCCGACAGCCATTAGCCAGCCACATAACACTTTAAAAAAAAATTATTATCTCATAACTAGTACCAAAAGAGAAAAACGCAATTTAGCCACCGGCAAATTACTTACCAGGACGAAGTGATGGTGAAAAGCCTAAATCCCTTGCTTCCAAATGGCTTAAATACGATAAATTGGTAACTGGGTCCCTTTACATTTCAGTATCAAAAGGACCTCCCACAGACCTTCCATCTACTTCTCCATTGTTCTCCATTTACTTGCTCACAAACCAAACTCCATTATTCAGAATTCAATCTTCCATAAACATTGATGCCCAACCATCATCCAAAATTCAGCAAGGTGAAAAAAGAAGTTCCAGTCGAAAACCACAGGTCAAAATTACCCTGGAACTGTAATTGAACATTAAAGAAATGACCAAGAAGATTAAAGAAAAGCCTGAAGAACCAAAAACACCTTCACAGTCCGACTGCCAGAGAGAAAAAGTGACATATAAAGAGATCTGAAACTTAAACCTAGGAGGGAATCTGGAAGAGCGCGTAGGACGGCAGAGGAAACTGCAGCGTGGCGATGGAAAACAAAACCGGCTAGTCGTTGTTATCGCGGTCAGAAGTGAAGACCGCGCAATGCAAGGAAGAAAAATCGGCCCTGGGCCTACGAAATAATTAACAAGCGGATCGTCAACCACCAGGCCTGTCGGTTGATTGGCAAGAAAAATTGGGCGAACGGTCAAAAGCAGGGCTGCAAGCGTACCAAAAGTTCCACGAGTAGCTCGTTGTTCGGTTCGATTAAACCACGTTCCGTTCGATTTTGTGATCATTTAATTAGCTAAACAAATAAATTTGAACAATATTTTAAATACTCGGATCTTAAATAAACAAATTTGAACACTAATGCGTTCGGCTCATTTATGTTCGCGAACAACATCATTTGAAGTTCGTAAACAAGCTCGACATTAAGCTCGATAAGAAGCTCGATAAAAGCTTGATTCGTGATCGATTTTGAACTCGTGAATAAGCTAGATAAAAATAATTAATATTTGATCATAAAATTAATAAATATAAATAATCATTGCCTTTGTTACATAGACAATTGCTTTTATTATAAATGTGTTTGTTCATAGATATGTTCATGAACGTATTTGTTTGATAGTTAAAAAAAATTCATTAAATATATTCGCGAACAAGCTCGATAAGCACTAAACGAACGAACATGAACTGAACATGAACCGAACATGAACACTCATTAATTTAAATTAACCAAACATGAACACAAACAATAAAGCTCGAACAAACATGAACCAAACTTGAACAAGCTGATATTAAATGAACACAAACATGAACACTCACATACTCGGCTCGGCTCGGTTCGTTTACAGCCCTAGTCAAAAGTAGAGAAATTACTCAAAAGTAGATAAATTATTCTGTGTCGAATCCGATCATAAATCTATGTTCGGATGCTTACGTGGAAGGTGAAAAGTCCGAATTATTTATATTGACTTGCGTAAACCCGACGATACTCGACCCGTCAAAATTATTTGTCTTCCAGCCCGACCCGGGCATAACGTTAAATTTAGGTTGGCGCATCTTTTTTTCAGAATATAAGGCGCGAATCACCGCAATATATAACACTTTCAGCCAAAATTTTCGCAAAAAAATGCCGATGAAGATGAAGATTGATCTGGATCTGGAGGAGGATGTTTGTTTTTATGAGCAGACAATATTTTCGCAGGGCTCGGAGGAAGCCGATAAACTGGAGAATGCCGACGTCCAAGAAACGAGCGCACATGAAGCAGAACACCTAAAACCAGTGCGACTGGACGAAAAGTTCAGCTTATCGGTAAAGTTCGCCTTCTTCCCAGTTTTCTTTATAGCAATGTTCCAATTAAATTTCTCTACGGAGTCATTTTTTTATGTAATTATTTTAGGGTACAAAGATTTTTGATGTATTTATTGTGTTTAACAAAGATGCATATTTTTATCAACAATGTACATAATGTTAAATTGTAATTGACTTTAAAAGAAGACTCGATGGTCCCTTCTTTTAAAGTAATATTGAGCTAGGGTACTATAACAAATTTGTAGTTCGATTTTTTTAATACAAAGTTTTGTTGCGTATTAATTGCATATGTATTGATTATTTGTTTGATATATTGAGTATTAGTTGTGTATTTATTTGGTATACATTATTTATTAATTGTGCATTTGTTGAGTTTTTATTGTGTATTGGTTGCGTATTTGTTTAGTATTGTTTTGCTTAATTACTGTTTATTGGTTGCGTATGGATAATTCATTTATTGCGCATTTATCAGAATGTTTATGTTAATGAGAAAGAGGCATACGAGGCTTATTGTAATTATGGCCAAAATATTGGTTTTAGTGTTCATAAGGATCATCACGGTTATTAGCCAAATTCCAAAAATTTAAAATTCAAGGACTTTGTTTGTTCAAAAGCTGGTTTCAAGAAGTTGCCTGATCTTAATATCCAAAGGAAATATCGAAAATCAGATACCCGAACTGGTTGTCCAAGTATGATTAGGTTTACAGTGGATGAAGCTGGATATTGAAAATCATAATCATGATTTGCCTATGCCAGAAGACCGGCATCTTCTTAGATCATGCAGGAATGTGTGTGATGTAAAAGCTTCTGTTCTTAAAGTAATGACAGATGCTGGGATAAGAACCATTGATGTATTTTCCTTCCTTGCTGATGAAGTTGGAGGTGTCGAAAATATTGGATTCACAAGGATGGATGCGTATAACTTTATTCAAAAAATAAAAAGAGCAAATATTGAATTTGGTGACACTAATACTTTGATTAAGTTATTTAAAGAATGTCAACTTAATGATAACATATTCGCTTGGGATGACCGGAAGGATGAATTTGATAGATTGTTAATTTTTTTTTTTGATGGGATTTGTAGGATAGATTATGACTGCTTTGATGATGTGGTAATTTTTTATACAAGTTATAGGTCTAATAAGTATAATTTGGTATGCGCACCATTTGTCGGGGTTAACAATCATTGGCAAAACATTTTGCTTGGGGTGGCCTTCTTGTCCGAAGAGACAATTGAATCATTTACGTGGCTGTTTACAACGTTTATTCGAATGATGGGTGATAAATATCCAAAAATAATATATACAGATCAAGACCAGGCAATGGCTAGGGCCATAGAAGTTGTACTACCTCACAATTGTCATAAACTGTGCTAATGGAATATATGTAAAAAGGCTCCATAAAAAATATCGTGCTATGATACCAACAACAAAGTCAAATGCCTCTTCAATAAGTGTTTGAGCAGATGTGACTCTAAGGAGGAGTTTGAGAATGCATGGGCTGAATTGATCATACAAGGGAACCTTCAAGATCATGTTTGGTTGCAAGATCTTTATAGGATAAGGAATAAGTGGTCAACAGCCTTCAATAAGGATTGTTTTAGCATGGACATTCTATCCACACAACGTAGCGAGTCTACTAATAATGTGTGTCATGGCATTTCTAAGCCACAAGTTCTATAACTGATTGCTTTCTGGGTTTAGAGAAGGTGATGATGAATTTGAGCATGAATGAACAAGATGAGGATTATAGATGCAGCCAGTCCGAAATAGAACATGTAATAAAAAACTGCTCAATATTTAAAACAAGCTGCTCAATTTTATTCAAAGAAAATATATTCATTTTTTTTAACAAGAATTTTTGCAAGGTGTTAGTGTAATGAGAGTAGAGCATGAGTCTAGTGATTCTTCTAAATTTTTTGTCTATTACACAGAGAAAAATGATCATTCTAAACTATGGGTTGTTGATTTTGATGCACAAAATGGTAATATTCAATGCTCCTGCATAAAGTTTGAAAAGATGGGTTTATTGTGTTCTCACTGCATAATAGTTTTGAGGCAAATGGCTATTTGAAAAATCCCCGAGAAGTACATACTATTGCAATGGTCAGCATGAGCTCGACAAGATATATATTCTAGTCTAAATTTGAAAGAAAATTCTCAGAATAGCTCTGAAGCTAGTAGCAGATTCATATTCAAAAATTATATCAGCAGGTTTGCATATGAAATGAGCACATGAGCGCAGATGAATGAGGAGGGTGAAGAATTCCTATTGGCTTCGATGAAGGATACATCTGAAAAACTCGATTTGATTGTTTATGGGAAGAGAAAGACATACAAGTCTACAGAGGGTGGTTGTGTATAACTGAAAGATCCTCTAAAGCGTAGGCCTAAATGCATATCCAATGCTATGCTGAAAAGCCACTAGGAAAAGAAGCCAAAAAGTATGATTTTATTTTCTGACTAATTTTATTTATTGTCTATTGTGACATATTGTTATTAATTTTTTTAACATGGAAATTACCAGTGAAGAAAAACACAATAAAAATTTCTACTCCTTCAAGCATGCCCAAATGCTTAACTGAGGATTTCATAAATTTTGTACACTCCAAGCAACCATCAACACAGTAGTGTAATTTCACAAGCATGCTCGAATGCTTCACTGAGGACTTCATAAATTATGTACAGTCCCAGTCAGCCATCAGTTAAGCAGTGTAATTTCACAAGCATGCACGAATGGTTCACCAATGACTTCATATCACAAGCATGCCCATCTAGTCAAGCATCAGTACAGCAATTCACAAGCATGCCCAAGTGCTTGACCGATGATTTCATAGCCGAGGAACCATCCAGTCAGCCATCAGTAAAGCGAGCAAAGCATTCTAATTTCACAAGCATACCCAAATGCTTCACTCAAGAACACATAAAAGGTGTACGTTCAAAAATACCATCAGCAATGTACCTGAAGTTAATAAGGTATATCATTAAATCAGAAAATTCTATGTAATAAGAATATTTGTATTATTATCTTTAGATATATTTATTTTAATAAGAATATTTGTTTTAGATGTGAATTTTGATTTAGGTATGGCCTGCGTATGCAATACGTCCTAGTTGCGTACATAAAGCGTATTTTCTATGTTGCGTAAAATTCTATGTTGCATGCTTCTATTATTCACGAGACGAAGAATTTCCATTATTTTAATAAAAATTCAGCACAGGAATCGACATGAGGATGCGGCATGCAAATATACATTTAACATTTTTCTGAAAAACAACACAAGTTGTTCTTGCGTATTTAAAGCTTACTTACTGTGTATTATATGCGCATTGGATGCGTATTGTATGCGCATTTAAAGAAATAAACAAAGTTCTTGTGTAATATTATATTACACTGTCTCATTCAAAAAAAAATTATAGTAATTTTAATATGATCCTAAAATGAGTATTTACATAATTCATACTGAAGGAATGAATTGAATTAATTAAATTATAATTAAATAAATTTTTTTAAGAAAAAACTGACTGTGATTTGCGTATGGAATGCATATTCAATGCGTCTCGATGGCGTATCATAAGAGTATAGAATACGTACTTTGCAAGCCCATAGGAAAACCTTCTTAATCACAAGGAATCAAAGATCAATGTTGAGAAACCCAATATTCAACGATTTTTGATTCTTTTCTTCACGAGACGAACATCTATTGCAAGTTAAAACAGTGAAGCATTACCCCCAGTCTCTAGAAATATCACTTGTGTAG